AAAGAACGGTAACCACGCTGCCAAGGAACCCCACATACTTATAGTGTCTGGAGTGATGATAGCTGAAATGAAACATGCGAGAATGATGCTGATGGCCGTTGCCCCGCCAATACCATTGGTGACGCCGGTCAAGCCTTGGGAGTCTGAGTACCCGGAGGGCGTCGAGAAACTGCCACCACTGCCACGCGTTCCGAGCCTGGGCCGTATAGAGACCTAGCTCAGGGACCGCGTCGGGAAACTACCACCCTTGCCACACTTGGACCGTATAGAGACCGCTCCCAGAGACCACCCCTGCGCACCCCTCTTTGGTGTCGAGAAACTGCCACCCATGCATGCCACACTTTCCGAGCCTGGAGCGTACAGGCCGCGCTCAAAGACCACCCCGTGCGCACCCCTTCTGGTGTCAAGAAACCGCCACGCTTGCCACACTTTCCGAGCCTCGACCGTATAGGGACCGCGCTCAGAGACCGCCCGCTGTGCACCCCGCCTGGCGTCAAGAAACTGCCACGCCTGCCACATTTTCCGAGCCTGGACCTCATAGAGACCGCGCTCAGAGACCACCCCGTGCGCACCCCCATTTGGTGTCGAGAAAGTGCCACGCTTGCCACTCTTTCCGAGCCTGGACCGTATAGAGACCGCGTTCAGAGACCACCCCGTGCGCACCCCCATATGGTGTCGAGACCCCATTTGGTGTTGAGAAACTGCCACGCCTGCCACACTTTCCGAGCCTGGAGCTTATAGAGACCGCGCTCAGAAACTACCCCCTGCGCACCCCCATTTGGTGTCAAGACAGTTTCACCCCCGCCACACTTTCCGAGCCTGGACCTCATAGAGACCGCGCTCAGAGACCACCCCGTGCGCACCCCCATTTGGTGTCGAGAAAGTGCCACGCTTGCCACTCTTTCCGAGCCTGGACCGTATAGAGACCGCGTTCAGAGACCACCCCGTGCGCACCCCCATATGGTGTCGAGACCACATTTGGTGTCGAGGAACTGTCACGCCTGCCACACCTTCCGAGCCTGGACCGTATAGAGACCGCGCTCAACGACCACCCCGTGCGCACCCCCATATGGTGTCGAGAAAATGCCACGCCTGCCACATTTCCGAGCCTGAACCGTATAGAGACCGCGTTCAGAGACCACCCCGTGCGCACCCCCACATGGTGTCGAGACCCCATTTGGTCAAGAAACTGCCACCCCTGCCACACTTTACGCCTGGACCGTGTAGAGACCGCGCTCGGAGACCACCCCCTGCGCACCCCCATTTGGTGTCAAGAAAGTGCCACCCCTGCCACACTTTCCAAGCCTGGACCGTATAGAGACCGCGCTCAGAGACCACCCCATGCGCACCCCCATTTGGTGTCGAGAAACTGCCACGCTTGCCACACTTTCCGAGCCTGAACCGTATAGAGACCGCGTTCACAGACCACCCCGTGCGCACCCCCATATGGTATCGAGATCCCATCTGGTCAAGGAACTGCCACGCCTGCCACACTTTCCGAGCCTGGACGGTCTAGAGACCGCGCTCAGAAACTACCCCCTGTGCACCCCCTCTGGTGTCAAGAAAGTGTCGCTCCCGCCACACTTTTCGAGCCTGGACCGTACAGAGACTGCGCTCAAATACCACCCTGTGCGCACCCCTTTCTGGTGTCGAGGAACTGCCACCCCTGCCACACATTCCGAGCCTGGACCGTATAGAGACCGCGCTCAGAGACCACCCCTTTCGCACCCCCCATGGTGTCAAGAAACCGCCACGCTTGCCAGGCTGGATGTGGATGTGGACGTGTGCTTCATGTGGGTGGCCAATATGTTGTGCATACGTCTTGGGTGTATGATGTAGTGAACACGCCCGGCGTGCATTGGCGTTGTATAGTGTGTGTGTGTATGCAACCGTGTGCATGCAAGGGGTGGTATGTACACGCGTGTCTCATGTACATGCCCGTGCATGTGTTGCACGTGGGTGAGGGAGAAAAGAGGAGGGGAGGAGTGAAACGCGGGTGCGACGCGGCAAGGAAGAAAACCACAACCCCACGAAACATGCGGGGAGCAAAATCCCTCCGTTAGGATGTTGATCCGCAAGCCATATCTGCATGGCCATCAAGCTGCGAAGCTCTGCCTATATAGTAAACGGCCAGGGCCGTTTAGTAAACGCTGTATACGGGGGGTGTTTTTCCTCCCGTGATGCCCCCCCTGACGTTACCCCTGACCTTGCTGCTCCATCCGCCGCCTCGTTATCGTGGGCCCCCACTGGTCCAGGCCTCTCCTGCCGTCCTTACTCCGTGCCCCCTGTGCTGCACTCCTGTCGGCATCCTTCCAAGGCTGGCAGAACTGGCGAGACCTCTGCAGTAAGCTAATGCACGTGTCCGACATGACCACACATCACACCGCGCACAGAAACCCTAAACAGCAACGCTGCCTGAGAACTGCTCTCAGGCAGCGCTGCTGTGTTCTCAGAGAACACACACACACACTTTTCGTCAGCGGCGCAGCGGCGAACTCCGCTCCAGCGAGAAGCTACGTAGGGGCACTAACTAGCGAATTGGCCGGCGAGCAAAGAGGGAAGGGGAACGGCCGAGAGGAATGAGGGACGCCCAGACACCAAAGAGTTCGACGATGAGCAGCCGCGGGGCCACAGCGCGGTGGGCAGCCGTCGCTAACATGTACTGTGGCCCACGGCACATCGCTGCGTGTGCGTGTGCGTGTGCGTGTGCGTGTGCGTGTACGTGTGCGGTCGGTGCGTGCGTGCGTGCGTGCGCGCGTGCGTGCGTGTGTGTGTCTGTGTCAGTGTGTCAGTGTGTCAGTGTGTCAGTGTGTCAGTGTGTCAGTGTGTCAGCGTGTCAGTGTGTCAGTGTGTCTGTGTGTCTGTGCGTGTGCGTGTGCGTGTGCGTGTGCGTGTGCGTGTGCGTGTGCGTGTGCGTGCGCGTGCGCGTGCGCGTGCGCGTGCGCATGCGCGTGCGCGTGCGCGTGCGGGTGCGGGTGCGGGTGCGGGGGCGCGTGCACGAACGTGCGTGTGCGTGTGCGCGTGCGTGTGCGTGTGCGGGTGCGTGTCCGTGTGCGTGTGCGTGTGTGCGTGTGTGCGTGTGTGCGTGTGTGCGTGTTCTGCGTGCGTGCGTGCGTGCGTGCGTGTGTGCGTGTGTGCGTGTGTGCGTGTGTGCGTGTGTGTGTGTGCGGCGTGTGCGTGCGCGTGTGCGTGCGCGTGTGCGTGCGCGTGTGCAGCGTGTGCAGCGTGTGTGTGTGTGTGTGTGTGTGTGTGTGTGTGTGTGTGTGTGTGGTGTGTGCGTGCGTGCGCGCGCGCGTGCGCGTGCGCGTGCGCGTGCGCGTCGCGCGCGTGCGCGTGCGCGTGCGCGTGCGCGTGCGCGTGTGCGCGTGTGCGTGTGCGTGTGCGTGTGCGTGGGCGTGTCGGTGTGCGTGTGTGCGGTGTGCGGTGTGTGGTGAGCGGTGTGCGGTGTGCGGTGTGCGGGGTGTGTGTGTGTGCGTGTGTGTATGTGTGTGTGCGTGTGCGTGTGCGTGTGTGCGTGTGTGCGCGTGTGCGCGTGTGCGCGTGTGCGCGTGTGCGCGTGTGCGCGTGTGCGCGTGTGCGCGTGAACGCGTGTGCGCGTGTGCGCGTGTGCGCGTGTGCGCGTGTGCGCGTGTGCGCGTGTGCGCGTGTGCGCGTGTGCGCGTGTGCGCGTGTGCGCGTGTGTGCGTGTGTGCGTGTGGGCGTGTGTGCGTGTGTGCGTGTGTCCGTGTGTGCGTGTGTGCGCGTGTGCGCGTGTGCGCGTGTGCGCGTGTGCGCGTGTGCGCATCTGCGCGTGCGCGCGTGCGCGCGTGCACGTGCGCGCGTGCGCCGTGCGCCGTGCGCCGTGCGCGTGCGCGTGCGCGTGCGCGTGCGCGCGCGCGTGCGCGTGCGCGTGCGCGTGCGTGTGCGCGTGCGCGTGCGCGTGCGC